TTTTATACAGGGTGAATCAAATTTTACCAACTCAAATAAAGGATAAATAAATAATTTGGCGAGTTTTTTTACAAATTATACAGAGTGAATCAAGTTTTATTTCTAATATTTATTAATAATTTGTTAATAAGTTTTTGTATAAAAAAATATGTTTGAAAATTTGACTAGAAATTTTATTAATGTTTGAATATACGATTCTGTTTTATACAGGGTGAATCAAATTTTATCGCCAACTTCAATAAAGAATAAATAAAATAATTTGGCGAGTTTTTTACAAATTATACAGAGTGAATCAAGTTTTATTTCTAATGTTTATTATTAATTTATTAATAAGTTTTTGTATAAAAAAATTATGTTTGAAAATACGATTCTGTTTTATACAGGGTGAATCAAATTTTATCGCCAAGTCAAATAAAGAATAAATAAAATAATTTGACGAGTTTTTTACAAATTATACAGAGTGAGCCAAGTTTTATTTTTAATAAAATTTTTTTTTTTACAGAAATCTATTTGAAGTGTACTTAAAACCATACTTCTTGGAAGCTTACCGACCAATCCACAAAGGTGACGTCTTCATCGTTCGTGGTGGAATGCGAGCTGTTGAATTCAAAGTGGTGGAAACGGAACCATCACCATATTGCATTGTCGCCCCAGATACTGTCATTCATTGTGACGGTGATCCAATCAAACGAGAAGTAAAAAAAAAATTAATAAACAACTCAAAATAACAATTTTTTGGATTTTTTCAGGAGGAGGAAGAAGCTTTGAACGCCGTCGGTTACGACGACATCGGCGGCTGTCGCAAACAACTCGCACAAATCAAAGAAATGGTCGAATTACCCCTACGCCACCCCTCACTTTTCAAAGCAATTGGGGTAAAACCCCCACGTGGAATCCTCCTATACGGTCCCCCAGGTACCGGGAAAACCCTAATTGCACGTGCCGTGGCCAACGAAACCGGTGCATTCTTCTTTTTAATCAATGGTCCCGAAATAATGAGTAAATTAGCCGGTGAATCAGAAAGTAATCTACGAAAAGCCTTCGAAGAAGCTGATAAAAATTCCCCAGCTATAATTTTCATCGATGAATTGGATGCAATTGCACCAAAACGTGAAAAAACCCATGGTGAAGTCGAACGACGTATTGTTTCACAATTATTAACATTGATGGATGGTATGAAGAAAAGTTCTCATGTTATTGTTATGGCGGCCACAAATCGTCCTAATAGTATCGATCCGGCCCTGCGTCGTTTCGGTCGTTTTGATCGTGAAATTGATATTGGTATCCCTGATGCGACTGGACGTCTTGAAGTCCTGAGGATTCACACAAAAAATATGAAACTTGCCGATGATGTTGATTTGGAACAAATCGCTGCTGAGACTCATGGTCATGTGGGTGCCGATTTGGCATCGCTGTGTTCGGAAGCGGCGTTGCAACAAATCCGTGAAAAAATGGATTTGATTGATTTGGATGATGATCAAGTTGATGCTGAAGTATTGAATTCGTTGGCTGTTAGTATGGAGAATTTCCGTTATGCAATGACGAAATCATCGCCGAGTGCATTAAGAGAGACTGTTGTTGAAGTACCAAATATAACATGGGATGATATTGGTGGTTTACAAAATGTTAAAAAAGAATTACAAGAATTGGTACAGTATCCAGTTGAGCATCCTGATAAGTTTTTGAAATTTGGTATGCAACCATCACGTGGTGTATTGTTTTATGGACCACCTGGTTGTGGGAAAACATTGTTGGCGAAAGCTATTGCTAATGAATGTCAAGCGAATTTTATTTCGGTTAAAGGACCGGAATTGTTGACGATGTGGTTTGGGGAGTCGGAGGCCAATGTTAGGGATATTTTCGATAAGGTTTGTTGAAAAAAAATAATACACAGGGTTTTATTTATACAATTTTTAATTATAACAATGCATAATTATAAGAATTTTCGTGTTTTTTACGCGAAATGT